CAAGTTTTGTTTGGTACTTTGTTAAAAATTGTGATATAAAATTTACCTATTAGTATCCCGTTAGTGAAAACATTACATTAAACTTAATTAATATTGTATAATTGTCTCAATTTGTCACTTTCGTATGTGTTATAAGTAGTCTAAGAGACTAAAACAAGATTTTTAAAAATTATAAGGATTAAAAACAATAATTTTAAATTTGAGGTATCAAAAATAAGTTTACCATAAATTTATGAAATTAAAAATATATTTAAACCTAAAATAAATATTTGTATTTGTCTTAAATTTAAGATTTTAATCAACATACACCTAGTTTTACATAGTTAAGCCCATCAAAGTCATAAATTATATGACTTTAAAAGTATTTGTTTCAAAAATCAATATATAGTGAATTGTAATTAGATGATTATGTAAAATCGCTTTACAATGTTAGTGTGTACAATTCTTAAATTCAAAATTTAAATTTTATTGTCGTTAATATCGATTAAGAAAAAATGTGTAAAAGTTATGTAATTTATAATTTTAGTTCTTGAGATAACATAAGTATGAGTATGTAGTTATGTTAAATAATTGAAAAGAAAATTGTCATTCATAATAGTCCTTTCCAACTCAAATATGATTATCTTTAATGGATGATACATGTATTTTATACTAAAAAATTTATTACAAAAAACAATAATTTTTTTAACCATAGGAATATAATGTCAATAACAAAAGTTTAATTTGAACATATGATACATACTACCTTAACTCTTCTATTAGACCGATTGATATTAGACTTACATTATAATAATAATAAGAATGAACAGATATTTAATTAAATTATTAATATATATTTAAAAAATATTATATTTTGTACTCCTAATTTTATATATTAAATTTATTGATTATTTTTAACATTCATATTTCATATATATATATATATATATATATATATATATATATATATATTCTTCCTTTGCATCGGAAAGTAAAAAACGTTTGCATATTTTTCTCTCGAAAGTATTCATGGGTCAGAAAGTATAACGTTGCGTAATGATATATATTGGGGTTATCGATGAAAGCACGTCTAAAAAGTTATATATATATATATATATATGACGATAATAATTATTAATTGTTAAAATCTTGGATCCACTACTAATTAGTGATCAAAATGAGCTATAATTTTATAACTATTGATTCCTTTCGGTTGCAATAAGCAATAGAGTTTACAACTGACAAATATATTGGCAAAACAAAATTCGAATAAATTTAATTGGCAATCAATTCTTCGGTAGCGAAGGAATAAAAGTATACTCGATCAATTGCTTATTTTGTTGTAAAAATGTAAATTGAATACATGATGTTATGTTGTGATTAAATAACTACTAAATTAGTCTACTGATTGAATGATGAGAGATTAAGGTAATTAAAAACATGGAACCTAAGTTTAATCTTCATTATAAATTTATAGTCTTTCTTATCTTTATTAAAAAAAAATATTAGTGATTAAATTTACAACCGAATATAATAATTTAATTCCTTTCTTTGTTCATTTCCCACTTTCTTGTGTGTCTCTCGATAGATTTCTTCCAACGATTCCTCACACCTTTAGTCTTGTGAAGTCTTATTTTATTCAACTCATTCTGACGTCCTTTACTTAATACCTATTTGTGTCATCATGCATTTGCTCAATGCTTGTGTGCCTTAGTGGGGTCTATCTCACTTAGTGTGTCCTTTACTTAGTTTGTGCCTTAGTGCCTTACTTAATAGTTTGTGTATTTTTTATTTGTAGGAAAGAAATTTGTTCCGATAAAACAAAACAGGTTTTCATGTTGAAAGATTTAAAAATAAAATACAATATTTGTAGATTTTAATTATGTGCATCTGTATGTGTAAATTTACTATTTATGTGACTTGTAAAATAAGTTTTTGAGATAGCTTGTCACTTGTTTAAATTAAAACTTAACTATCAATTAGTCATTAGTCTAAATAAAACTAAACTTAATCTTCAAAGTTTCAAGTTCAAATATTCTATATGAAAAAAGAAATAGTTAAAAAGAGAGAATCCACTTAAAGTAACAAATCAAGTTCTTCCACATTACTTCCCACTATTATAATGATTGCAAAAAACAAAAAATACTAACATTCATCTCTTCTTATCTTCATTCCTTTAAATAATAAGGAAAAATATTAAATATAAAATTTGTGACACCCTCTACCCTAACATACATGTACAATAATTATGAAAACATATTCTTGGAGTAAATAAACCTTTTGAATTAAAACCATGGTTTCACTAACATGAGAGTAGAGAATTCACATTCGTAAACATAATCATAATTCACTTGCGGAAATTATAGAAGAAATAAAGTTAAAGATTTTCTAAAACAAAAGAAAGAAACTAAATTCCCAAACTAAGCCTAACTATGCCTCAATGTCACATATCCTATATATCAAAGCACGTTTAACTGAAGCCTAAGTCTCATCACCAACATCCTCATGCTGATGATCACCTACAACACAATTTAAATACATACAAAGAACAACAAGAGAGTGAGAAACATCTCACTCAGGTTCAGGTGCTGAAATAAAGGTTAGGTAACACACACACAACAAACATAAGTCACAAGCACAAATCACATGTAAACAATATACATACACAATCAGTATCACACACACACTCATTTATCATGCAATGATGTCATGGACTCAACTCATAAATGCATGCATGTGGCGTCAATCACATATCACATATCACTAGTGTGCTGCCTAAACAACACACCTAAGGTAGTCTAGGAGTACATGTAGGGAGCTACCCATACACTCTCAACTAGAAGGATGTACTGCTAGGATCTGGTCGGGATACCGAAGCTGAGCAAGTTACGTCTCGTGCTCACAAACGGGCGGAATCGAGACATCCAAACTACATTATCCCCTAGGACTCCCCCAAGCTGTTATACAAGGAGGGCCTTCCCTAACGGTGTACTCTACATTGTACCCTTCACATAGATGCACATGATGCATGTCACACACATTCACACTTCATGGACTCATCACTTTACTTGTCATGGACTTTCATGTCTTATCTCATTTCATCACATTTCACATTCTCATAGTCATAGTGCTCACAATATATAGCACGTCATTCACGTCATGTCTCATGTCATTTGTTCACATTTCACATAGTCATACTCATAAGATCATCATTTGGAGATTCTTATCCTCATCATGCTCATATTCACTTTTCACATTGTCTCATCATATTCACATTTCACATTTCACATTTCTCATAATCATACTCATAATTGTCCCTCATAGGGTTTCGCTCATGAACCCACAGAGCACTCTAATTCATCTCAAAACTTATCTATTTTTGAAATTAAACACATATTTACGCTCAATATCACACAAGGAATGCAACAGAACATTCAAAAAATAAAATAAAAAACATTCATATTTTGTTTGTTCCTAGAAGCATACATCAAGCAAGGGATTAGGGGCCAATCTTGCTACCCAACATATATTCCCACACCCCCGAGTGAGGTTTCTCACTCCCCCCTTACCTAAATAAGTAGAAAGTGAAGTTAGAGCAGAATCTGATTGATCTTCTTCCCTTAGTTCTCCTTGGTCTTTAAAGAGTGTGTCCAGGAGCAGTGTCCGAGTATGCTATTTATAGACGTCAAAAGTGGCCAGAACAACCCATTTCAAATCCAGAACGGTCCATTCTGGATTCATTCATCATGTGTTAAATTCGCATCTAGAATGACCCGTTCTTAAACCAGAACGGTCCATTCTGGAGTTGAGTTTTAACTCACAATGGCCATGTTTGGAACGACCCGTTTCCAAAGTGGAACGGTCCGTTCTGGATTCAACTTTTACTCATAACAGCCTGTGTTGAAACAACTCGTTCTAATCTAGGATTTATAGGCTTTTTTAGTAGTTTGAAACGACCCGTTTTAGTTTGGGAACAACTCGTTCTAGGCTACTAAATCACCCTTATTAGGCTTTGAGCCTTCATGTAATTTGTGAAAATCGGGGTGTTACAAAATCATTCATACTTTTGGATAGAAGATGTTTATTTACACTTAAATAAGATAAAATATTTCATCTCTTAGTAGAGTTTAGGGTTTAGGTAACATTTCATCTCTTAGGAGAGTGCATCTTTTTAATAACAATGCAACTAATATTTTTAAGACTTAAAAAAAATGTGAATTGCATTAAAAAAGGATTAATAATTTTTTTCACATGTAATAATCAAATTCAGAAAAAGAATTACAACAACTCACGCATATTGATCAATTATTTGAGCTAAAAATTTTCTTAACAGAGTTATAAATATTTAATATTATCTAAACAAATTTGTATAACTGTATCACATATTAGAAATATAATAAGAAAAATATGTATATAATAGTTGGCTCATAATAGCATAACATGTTTAGTAGTTTTTTTGTTTTTCTTAAACTAATATAACTCTAGGACAAAACTAAATGACTGACCCTTGAAAATACTCAAATTTATTAAAGGGGTTAACAATTCTTAACAAAGTTTTACTAAAGATTAATTTAAAATTAGATTTATGCTGCCCATTTTTTCTTAATAAAAAGGATTTTTAGTTCGAGACAGATATAAACTATAAAGGTTCATGTCTTATTAATATACAAAGCCCAAAAGACCCCTAGTGAGGAGCTTGTATTAAACCATTAATAACAGTAGATAGCAACAATGAGTAGACGTGAGTGGTCATGCTTGAGAGATCTAAACAGTAAATAATATTTACAAATAAACATATATTCCAATAATAGAAAGCTGAGGTCAATTACATGACGATAACGAATAACCTATGCTATCTCGTAAATTCCCCCACCAAAGAAATAAAAATGAAAACAAATATTTGGAATGGAATATATATCTTGACGTTGAATTTGTTCCTCTCTTCTTGGGGGTTAATTAATTCCTCTATATATTGGAGAAGTTATCAAGCATCATAGCATTCTTCCACAGCTCAACAAAAAATATAGTAAGAGAAAAAGGAAAAAAAAAAAAAAATCATGACATTGGTGAAGTTCCATGAACTTTGGAAGCCAGTTTTGGTGATGATTATAGTTAATTTAGCTCTGGCTTTTGTGAATATATTTCTGAAGAAGGTTCTTAATGAAGGACTGGATTACTTGACCATCTTAACATATAGACAGGCAATTTCAGCCATTTTCTTGGCACCTATTGCTTGCTTCTATGAAAGGTATACCATTTACTTAAATTATTCACTTTTATGTGCCTTTTATATGGTCTTCTTTATCTAAGTGCAAGTTATTTTATTCAACTTAATATTATTTTTTTAAAATAATATTATTGGTACAAAAGAATTATCAATTTTATGATAATCAATCTAATTTAACTGATCATTTTTATTAGAATTTCACTTTTCAAATATATTTATTCAATTCACAAAGTTGATCTTAAAACCTTATTTAAAGCGATTAAATTAGTTTTACTCGAATCAACAACTTGTTTTTTTATGTACAATATCACATCGATACTTGAATCTAAAACATTATGCATACTATTTCAAATTATCAAACTTATTTTTAGTATCACTAAAATGTACAATAGATATCAAATGGTGATTTTTTAAATTTGTTTTTACAGGAAAAGGAAGTTGGAGGGTCACATAATATGTCTGCTCTTCCTAAGTGCTCTTGTCGGGTAAGTACCAAGTACTCTACTCTACTTGCTCTCCTAACCAAGGACACACCTTTAGATCTGTATGATTTTGTTTTAATTATTAACCCCAAAAAAGTTAAGATAAAGTTATCAATGTATTTCAGGGTGACACTCACTCAATATCTCTATCTTATTGGACTTGAATATACATCTGCTACATTCTCATGCGCATTCCTTAACACGGTACCTGTATTCACGTTCATCTTGGCACTGCCACTGGGGTAAGTCAAGCAAAAGGATATATATTACTTAATTATTGTGAAATATAATAATTATAATTACAATTTGAGACTGTAATTTTAATGCTCCTCTATTAGATTATTAGATCCTACAATTTTTTGTGACCCTTCATGTTGAAATTGTTAGGATAGAGAAGGTGAACATTAAAAGCTTGAGTTCCAAGGCCAAAGTGTTGGGAACTTTTGTGTGTATTGGAGGAGCTTTGTTGTTGATCCTTTATAAAGGAATGCCCTTAATCAACAGACAACAAGAGCACATAGCAGACAAAGGCACAGCAACACCATCAGCATCCAAGTTAAAGAAATGGATCATAGGTTCACTGCTTCTAACTGCAGGATGCCTCTTGTGGTCTTCATGGTTTCTTATACAAGCAAGGATCAGCAAAAAGTATCCATGCCAATACTCTAGCACAGCCATTTTGTCCTTTTTTGCTGCCATTCAATCAGCAATATTAACTTTGCTCATAGACAGAAATAATGCCAAATGGATTCTCAAAGGGAAGTTAGAGATATTGACTGTTGTATATTCTGTAAGTATATATCTTATCACAAAATTTCATCATTTAGAAATATTTGTGAAAGATTCTTTTCAAATTACTGTAGTTCAAATGATTGGGATTAAAACAAAATCTCATAATATTAGAATAAGAGAATAAACATGGATTCATATGCAAACACAAATATTCTATGGATATAAGACCTTTTGGATTATTTTCAAAAATAAATCTATTAGGATTTAAGCTCGACGTGTGTCACAACAACAACTTTATACTTCTCTGAAAAAATATACCTCTACAAATACAAATCAATCCATCACAAATTTAAACATCAATTAGCATATTGTATAAGATTAATTCAACAAGCTAGCCTGAATTATCTATATTAAATTTCGCATTCAAATTTTGTTTTGTGTCTGTGGACACAGGGGCTGGTTGGATCAGGCCTATGCTATGTGGCAATGTCATGGTGTGTCAAACAAAGGGGTCCAGTTTTTACTTCAGCATTTACCCCTCTTCTACAGGTGTTTGTGGCCGTGCTTGATTTCTCTATATTACATGAGGAGATTTACCTGGGAAGGTTGGTTTTAGTTGTTATTATTTTTGTTATCTTTTTTTTCTCAAACAAAACTTAGGTGCAATTTTGTAGATATGGTTGGTACTGTTCTTTAATTGAATAATATGTATTTACTTTTTATATGAATGAGATTTGTATTAAAAGTAAATGCATATTATCGAAATAAAACTTCAATTCTAATAGAAAAATTGTATTAATCATACCTAAGAAATTGTACAAAAATTTTGTCATTTTTCCCCACCTTTTTACATTGCATTGTCCCTGATGCATCCCTATATGCAATAAGCAGTGTTGCAGGATCAGTCTTGGTTATTTCTGGCACGTATATTCTACTTTGGGGTAAAAGTAAAGAGGAAGAAAAATGTGCTGGGAAGGATGCTCAAGAAAATCATGAAGATGAAGAATGCATGAACAATTTGGAAGCAAGTCCAAATGTTCCTTCTAAGCTAAGGCCTAATGGGGAACAAGGATTCACTGAGTTACAAGTGAAGCAGTTAGGTATTACAGTAACTAGAAGTTGATGAATTTTGAATATTTTCGTGCATGAGAGAAGATAAATAAATTTAGCTCGAGGACTAATTTGTCAATTACTCATGTCAAGCAGGGCATGCCTGTTTCCTTATTTACAAGGTTTTTTATCTACATATATGTAATGTACTAGTTGATTTGCACATGCAAAACCTGAGTTCCAACTTCACAGGGAGAGATTCATAACACTGGGTCCACACAATTAATTAATATACAACTACTAGTGATAATATTATTAAGAACATGAATGATATAACAAGTTTTTCATAGTAAGCATTGTTTTGTCTGTAAACTACCACAGATTATATAACAAGTGTAATTACTCTTTATTCAACCAATCACATGCCTAAGATAGGGAAGTAAAAAGAGGGAAGTTACACTATTTCCAGTCGAACTTTCACTTTGATAAAGTGGTCAATATCTTTGAAGATGTTCCCATCTTTAGCTATGTGAGTGCTACAACCGCTACTCAATTATTAATTTCCACCCATTTCAACATTGGAATATTAGATAGCAAAGAAAGGACATTGCTTACCATCACACTCTTCAACAAAATTTGCTTGTTTATTCTTGTTCCAACAGTTACTCTCCATGTGTTCAGTTTTTTTTGCTGTAGTGATGCTGTGACTTCTCCAGATGCCAACTATTTTTCTCCAAATACCTTGTTTTCTTGCAAATGTCACATGGAAGATATTTATCTCTGGATTATTCTTAGAGAAATTTCTAGATTTTTTTTTTATTTCTAAAAATTTCTTCACCCTTTTTTCTTTCTTTCATGTTTTTTATTTTGAGATCGTAACTTGAGTTTTGATTCAAAGACATTTTCTACAATTTGAGTCTTGATTTAAAGACATTTTCTGCGAAGTCTTCTTCATACCTACTCAATCTATGCTCATGTGCTTCAAATAACCCCATGAATTCTCTACCGATAAATTAGCCAGATCTTTGGTTTTCTTTATTGTAGACAAAATTGCATTGTACTTGGATGGGATGATCATTTAAATTTTTACAACAACTTTTTTGTCAGAAATATTATCCTCGTATGCTCTCATCTGACATACTATTTCTAATATCCTAGAATAGTAGTTAATTATTGTCTCAAACTCTTTATTTTTATTCTCAAACACTAATGTCTTGGAACTCCTGTAGAGTACTCCGTGCATCTTTAGCAGCTGTAGCATTCATTATTATTGGAAAGACAGGGTCAGCTACTGCTTGTTGTAAAATAAACAAACCCATTGAATCTTTCTGTTTGTTTTCTTTTAACCCTTTTTTCTAAGATGCACTAAGAACTGATGTGTTGTCAAAACAGTAAATCCTTCTTTTATGATGTCCCACAAATCTTCATACCAAAATAATATCTTCATTTTTATGCTTCAAAATAAATAATTTTCTCTTGTAAAAATAGGAATAAAAATAGATGATGGTTGAATAAAATTAGTCATAGATTAAAAGAAAAAATCTGAGCGATGTAGAATAAAATGGGGTTTTTCTTTGAAGTAATTGGATAATATATTTACATTCAGTATATGACTAAACGTAGTTCTTATACCGCTTATAAAATAAAGTTAGTGTTTATTTGATAACCTTGCCGAAAAGTATGGGAATAACGGAATAGTAGATATATAGAGGCCTATGGTAAGAAGTGGTTTTTGGATATACTTCATCTGTGATTAGTATTATAGCACATTCACATAATGCCCTATATATAAGCATCGGCCACCGTCATTTACAATATAGTATCCTTTTCTCTCTTTTTTTTTTTTAATTTTGAAAGTTCTAGGACTTGTAATATTAGAAACTTCCTGTATATAAGAGACGCTTCTATAAATAAAGTACACATTTTCTAGAATATTCTTTCTCTTCTAAAAAATTGTGGCATGTTTCCGACAAAGCTGCACGGATCAGGAACACTAGTGATCCCTATCAACCTACGGAATCTGACAGCTGGCTTATTCGCAAAATCTGGTGTTAAAGTTGAAAAAATTCCTAAAATTCAATACCATTTTGATTTTTATTACCTAAAAGAAGCACCCAATTTATAATATACCAAGTACCAACTTCCCACTCTAGAGTAACTCAAATCACCCAACAAGAAATAATAACGACCTACTTCAAGCACTTGTGCTCTGATTGCGTGCTTATCACGTGTTAATTCTTGTCCATGTTGATGGACGCCTGAATATCCTTCGTTGATGTTTTATTTGTTTCATTGCTTTATGATGCATTGGTTTCTGATTTAAAAGCATCCCCATTTGCAATAAGCAGTGTTGCAGGATCATTATTGAATATTTTTGACCCGTAAATTCTCTTATGGGGATTAAGAAAAAGAGCAATATGTTGTGAAGGGTACTCTAGTAGGGAACAAGGATTCTCTGAATTACAAGTGGAGCAGTTAGCTATTATGGTAACTAAGTTTATAAACTTTTCAATACTTGCATGAGAATGAGATGATCAACAAATTTAGCTTGAGGACTAATTTTATCACTCATGTCAAGCGGCATATGCCAATTCCTTAATATTAATGCTTTTTAAGTACACATGTAATGTACATGGACTAGTTGATTTGCACATGTAAAGCACAAGAATTCCAATTTCATAGGGAGTGATGATATACAACAACCACTTACTAGTATCTAGACTACCAGAATAAAGTATTTGATTATCCTTTTCAAATAAGGAAGAATATTGTTACAAATTTTGTATTCCAAATGCCTGGTCTGAATCTCAGGTGACGCTCCTTTCCAAATGCATACAGTTAAAACATTTGTATACACTGAGGAAAAAAGAAACAAAAAAACTTGTAAAAACAGAAGAATAGCACATTTCCCATTTGGTTAAGAAAGCATATAGAAAAGATTATAAAACAACCCTGGAGAGAGAGAGTGGAAAAGAGAAGAGTACTTATGATTGCTATGAAATTTGCAAGGCTCTGACTCGTGCAGTCAGTTCCCTAACTTGGCTCCTTAATCGCTCAGGATTGCAGAAGAAATCAACAAAGACTCGCCTTTGAAGTCCAATTTCTTGTGAATGATGTTTCACAATCTGGATGTCAGCACAAAGTTTCAGTCATCACAACAATAGGTTCAGAGTCTTAAAAATTGATGAGGGAGTGTCAATCAAAGTAGTGATATAACAGAAATATGTTCACACTCTTGAGTTCTATAACTTGGCAAAACAGATGTGATTCAATATAATGAACAAGTTTAAATTAAGAAAAAATCCAATACAGGTCAACAGTGACTACAATGATTCAAACTCAATTATAATCGCTTATTTTTCTCTTTTCCTTTTTTCCAGTGAATAAGACTAAGCTGAGGCTCAATTTTCAGGATTCATGAATTATTGTCCTTAAGTTTCAAGTTTTCATCAATAATATAAAAAGAAAATTATACCAAGGAATTATTTTCATGAAAGTTATCATGGAAAGGAGTTATCAAGAGAGAATCATGTTAGGTTAAAAGAGCAGAAAACTCTGCCTGACCGCATCAACCAAAGTAGGGAAATTACTGACTAGATGGCATGATAAAATGTTCATGTTACATTACCTCGTTATTCTTGACATGCTCTAGTGTCACCTCTTCAACAGCAGCAGACAGCTTTGCATTAATCTTTTCCATTTCATCAAGCTCTTTCATTAATGGCTAAATAAGAGATCATATGGAACAAGAAAAATGTCAACACAATATACACAAAAAAGAAAAAAACCTGATATGCCCGTTTTTATACAACTTTGATTCAGACATAATCTAGTTTCTAGCTGCTACAAATTGCTCAGAAAGGTCATCAGAATATCATATTACTTTACTTCATTAAGGTACGCATTGTTCATAATTACATCATCAAAAAGTAACCCACTCCCTTAAAACCCTGAAAAAAAATTTACTCTTTACAATGGACATGACAAATACCCACTTTGTAGGAAAAGGCTTTGGGTGTTGTTAATGAAATTACAAATATAATTAAGGTTTAAATCCACTCAGTCCACAAATGTGCAATTTTGGTTTTCCAAATTTTTTTATTACAAATTTGGTCTCCATAATTTTCAACATTAAGCAATGTTGGTCCTGTAATTAACATGTCACCAAAAATTAAACATAAATGCAAACGTTTTTGTGAATGATATTACCTAACATTCTAACAAATATTTAGCCACGTGGAAAAATAATAATATTAAAAACTAAAAAAAAATTAATAGATTATAAATATTAATTGAAATAAAATAAAAAGAGAAACATAGCAAATCTGTAGTAAAAAGCAATATTGCTCTTTACATGGAAGCCAACACAGCTAAGTAGCTAGTAGCTACTAGATAGTGTCATTCACGGGAACATAGCAATTTTTTGTCTAATTTTGAATGACATGTTAATGAGTGGATCAATATTACGTAATTTTGAAAACTAGAAGGACAAAATTTGCAATAAAATATTTTTGGGACCAAAATAGCACACTTGCAAAACTATAGGGACCAAAAGTGGATCTAAGCCTATAATTAACTAAATTGTTTTTAAACAAATTCAAAAGAAACTGAGTATATGTTACAACATACAAATTAAAATTAATGAAGTTTCTACTATATTTTTAGTCCCTGCGAAAGGAGTTTTAGTTTTGGTCCCTATAAATTTTTTTCTGTTTTTCATTCCTCTAGAATTTAAAATCATTATTTTTTATCCTTGTAAAATAAAGTAGTGTTGGTTTCAATTCTTGTAAAATATTTTTGTTTAATTTTCATCCTTCCAAAATCTGAGTTCACTAATTTTGGTCCCCAAATGTTCATTTTAAGATATATATGTATGTGTGTATACATATATATATATATATATATAACTTATTTAGGTATCTTACAAGTTTTTTGAAGTATCATAGATATTAGCAAGTGTCACCTAAGATGGTCATTTGATTTTCTATTAGCATAGTCATTAACAAGTGTCTCGTAAAAGTAGGAGCTAAAAACAATGATTTTCAACTGTAGAGGATGAAAAACAGAATTTTTTTTGAAGAAACTAAAATCAAAACTCATTCACCTTACAAGGACTAAAAATATATTTAAGGCATGAAATATTAATGTTTGAATTATCAATGAATCTGGTGAAATATCCAATACTCTAGACCATATTGAAAGACATAAACTCTCACTTCACAATTAA